CTTATCCTCTACTACCACTTTGAGCAAGCCCAGGCACTTTCTTTCTCCTTCCTCTTAAGATGTAAGTGAAGCATGAGCTGTTTTTTTACATGGCGTTACTTTCAGCCAGTAGTGACTTTACAAGTCTTACTCATTTCTCATCACCTCATCACAAACATTTCTACATGATGGGTAGTAAATGGATGATGCAAGAGGGTACTTTGGCAGTAAAACCTTATACTAAGTGGAAAATTGAATCAGTGGTACATGGCCTTGCTTTTAGCCTAGACTAATTTCTCATCACCCCATCACAAGAAAACGACTCATTGGCACATGCTGGAAGAGCTTGCAGGTAGGGCTATAAAAGAAGACTACAAAACGCCCGAAACTACAACCTGCAGTGACTTTCACTACTGACTTTCACTACTGACTGTTTACCTCTGGCCATGGCTCTGCTCAGCAACCTCTGCAGCCTTCTCCTGGTGACTGCCTTAGTCACCCAGGCCTTCTCTGCCGAGTGCCCGGAGCAGTGTTATGATAAAGGTGAGTGACTGGTGCTGTCAAACAACTGATGTTGATCTCTTTCTATTTTATCTGTCCTCCACTTAGCAAAATAAGTGGGCGTTTGCGATAGTTACAAGGTCTATTTCACCCAAATCAACTTTTGAACTATGGGCGACAATTTTGTGAAACCTGAATAAAAAGTGAAATGGTACTGTAATCTAGTGGCTATTTCCTCAAAACATTCTGAAAAATTTCTGCTGATGTTTAGGGTCATTAGTTTATATGAATCACGGTTACCGGTTTATGGGGGGTTAATTTCTGCAACCATTATTTTTGTGCAGGTTTAAAACTAATATTATGTTGTCCCTTTTTCAGCTGGAAATCTGTGTGCCCGATCTGTTTACCTGAGTATCTTTACTCTGAATGATGATAATGCTGACTCCACTGCCTTACCTTACCTTACCATTGAGCTAAACGGAGGTACAGAGATAAAAACCGTGAGGCTTTACGACCTGCCTGGTAACCAATTTGAGATAGCCAAGGGAGACCTGTGGGAGTTCGAGGTCGACGATTTTGAATTCAGTGAGCCGTGTGTATCGACTGCAGCAATCACTCATGTTACTATTAAGCCTGACACATCAGATGGTGATGGAATTTATATAAAGGATGTATTTACATGGGTCCGCAGTGGGGCAGCGAGCGAAATGCTGACCGCTGACTACGACATCAATGCATGGTTGGATGGTGATACCCCAGAGTCTGCAATAGATCTCTCCAAGGTCTGAGTCAGTACATGACACATGCAAATGGAACGGACAAAAGAGATTTGTAAACTGAGTAGCTAGTAGATATTTAGTCATCTGACTGTAGATTCTAGACACCTGCTGTAGTCTGTAGTGTGTAGGTGTCTGTTGTTTAGTCCCCTCAATGATATATACTTTGGTGATGACTCTGCGCATGCGCATGCAAAGATAGAACTCCGCTGCCTTATGCATATACCTCTCATATATAGAGGATTAGAACTGAATTGCATTATTTCTCCGATAATGCATGACATGTGCTTGCTCAAGTAATAATTCCCCGATCGTTTTCCCTACACCCCAACAATGAGGGTGTTTTAACAAGAAAAATGGCAACACATTTTTTTCACGAGCAAAGTCAATTTTTTTAGAATCACGTTAAGACATTACGGTATGCGAAGTGCAGGTCACAATATCGTAATTAGAAAATCACGCTCACACGACTACAGGTAGGCTTGCTGTGCAATAGAGATGATTATTGAGGCGAGGAGAGAGATGATAATCGAGGAAAGGAGAAGGAGAGAAGAGAGACAAGAGAGAGAGATAGTCTGGTGTCAGAAGTTTCCAATGCCAGCTAAAACTCTAATCTCCTCGTAGACCAGCCAGAATGTCAGAGACCATGGCGCCTGCGAGAGAGGGAGAGGGGGGAAGATAATCTTTGACCACTGTAGAAGTTGTTAGATTCAGCGTGAAAAATTATGCCATCATACAGGGATCAACAGGTTGCTAGAAATGGAACACATTTCAAACAAAGTTGCCTCGTCTAAGATTGAATCACTTGTACACCGTACATAATGTGCATGGCCACATACAGTCTTTACGTGGGACTAAACTACTAGACCGGTCGGTACTACTCACCATTCTAGTCCAGACAGGGACGAAACCTTTGTAATATATAATGTATATAGCTAGAGTCTGTACGTGGGACTAAACTACTAGACCGGTCGGTACCACTCACCATTCTAGTCCAGACAGGGACGAAACCTTTGTAATATATAATGTATATAGCTAGAGTCTGTACGTGGGACTAAACTACTAGACCGGTCGGTACCACTCACCATTCTAGTCCAGACAGGGACGAAACCTTTGTAATATATAATGTATATAGCTAGAGTCTGTACGTGGGACTAAACTACTAGACCGGTCGGTACCACTCACCATTCTAGTCCAGACAGGGACGAAACCTTTGTAATATATAATGTATATAGCTAGAGTCTGTACGTGGGACTAAACTACTAGACCGGTCGGTACCACTCACCATTCTAGTCCAGACAGGGACGAAACCTTTGTAATATATAATGTATATAGCTAGAGCCTACCTGTATTAATGATCCGTAAGAAGTTATGCTGGACAAATTTGATCATGGAGCACAAATATGGTGCAAGAAAGTGCCTTACGCATTATTGTTTTGACCCAGTTTTTATACAGTACATGAAATATCCCTATACTTACACTGTGAGCGTGTGGCAAATAATCATACGTGTATATATACCTCTCAGACTCAGATAGTGGTGTATGGCCATTGTCAGTTAATTAAAAAGTGCCTCCAGCTCTCCCCCTCTTTCCTGGTGATTACATAAGACGAGTGGGGAGCTGAGGCCAATGTGTAAAACACCTATGTATACTCATCCCCTCCCCCCCCCAACCGTCGCAGTGGGCGGGTCGCGTAGTTTGCTGAGCAGGCAGAACGCGGAACCCAGCGGAAGGAACCCCATACTACGCCTTTCCGGATCATGGCTACGAACGACTCTGCTGTGTTGGAGAGGATGCACAGAGAAGAGGAGAGGACGGCATTACTCAGCGGAGCGAGCATCTCCAGTCGGGTGTCCCTATCCGGAGTGCGTCGATCGGGCGTCGTGGACAAGTGCTACACCTTTACCACCCTCCTCTGCGCCTTCGCTTTCCCGTTGCTCGGGATCTGCATCGTGATTCTGGGAGCAATCATAGCCGACTTTAGCTCGGGTGCCAACGTGGCGGGAGGGGCCTACGTGGGAGGGGGAACGGCAGAATTAGTCCTGGGGGCTTGCCTCATACTCAGACTGCTATTCAACCTGTGCAAGCTGTCCAGAAGAAGTTGTGGGGAGACGACAAACTGTGTCCTGTTCTTGGCCCTCACATTTGCCTTCCTAGTGTGGTGTGGTGTGGCCTTCTCGCTGTGTCTAGCGGTGATTCTGAATGGGTTGAACTACCATGAAGACAGGAGGGAGACGACAGCCATGGTCCTCTCGTGTATCTCCCTAGTCCTTGTGCTAGTGTTTGGTGCCAGTGCATGCTGCTGGGCTGGGTGTCCTGCAGATTGAACACTTTTCACCTCTCACCCTGACCCCAACTCTGATTATGTTTAATTAGTAAGAGGGTCTCCCCCATACTCAGCCATTGCCACAGGATTTTGCACAACCACTCCAAGCTCTTCACGAGAACTGCATCAGCAGTTAGTCAATCTGTACAAGTTTTCATGTGTTTTATTCACATTACCTCATCGTGATCACGTGTAGTGGGCAGCATGGTCATTGTTGATAATATTGTTATAGCTGCTCTTTTCTCTGCAATGTTTCTGTCTCTCCACAATTGCTTATTTCATCATCTGCAGATGAGATATATAATACCAGATCATAGATCATTCTTTTCAGTCTAGACGTTGTAAGTCTGTTGTTTTCACAGATACTGTGTATACTGCATTGGAAAACTTTGCACACGTTTAATAGAGATCGTGCGGACCTGCAATGCGCACGCAGGGGGCCACAAAACCTGACCTGAATATGACGAAGAAAGGGAACGGAATGCTGCTACGAGAGTTAAGTGGCGGACATCCTGCATATCCACACATTGTTATGTGATGATCATGGTCAATTGTCAAACTCAATGATCCGTGAATGATCGGTGGATTGCTGCTACAAATTGTGGCTGGAAGATTGTTTCAGTTTTTGCTGTTGTCTCTATCACTTCCTGTCACTAGTCCTCATAAGATGGGTGGTCATAACAATGGGAAAGATGCCTGCAGCCACGATACGGCAAGAAACTCAGCTACATTATTACTGTCAGATACGTATATACCACTGGGACCGACTGGGCTCAATGCCTCCCTTAAATGTAAGAATGCAAATCCTCTAGAGTACGGAAGCCCATTGGGGCCGTGCGCACTTCCAAATCGTGCTACTTCTCACTTCCAAATTGCACCACTTCCAAATTGTACTACTTCCAAATTGTATCACTTCCAAATCATGCAGTGTTTAGAGGGCGGGGTCGTCTGGGCACTCGCGTGTCGGGCTACAACAAAATGTCGCACCACAAACGACAGACTTTAGAAGCACATTCGGCCAGGGATATTCGTATAGGACTATTTTGATCTACTTGGGATACCGGGCTCTTTGGAGTATCTACGAGCTGCACAGTTGATCATGACTAGTGAAAATGAAAAGCACTGAAGTGCAAACTCTCGGCGCATTGGGACGCGCACGCGTAAGTAAACGCATGCACCGTACCACTAATTGGTTTAGTTTCTCGTGGTCTCTCGCCAGCTCGCGCAGAGTCTGACGCGGGCTAACTACACTACTAGATAGCATGCGAGAGGCGATACACGCCCTGCGTTGCATCTTCTGGTTCCTCGAGGTACGCAGAGCACGCGGATCGATCTGACTGTGGTAAGCCGTCCCGTCTGTTGCGTTAAGTAGGTCGTATCCTTTGTGAGACGAACGAATACCCCACCCGTGAAGTGAGATGTAGAGTAACAGACAGACAGACAGACCCAACTCGCTGCGCATGCGCGCCGAGGGTAAAAAACGTTAGTAGAATTCCATCAGACATACGTGAAGCATTGAACCTAGTTTTTGTTCCAAATACTACTGAACTTGATAACTTTTCTGAGTGTACAAGAAATGAACATAAGAGTGTGCATAAATGTGAACTGTAGTGATGATTCTGGGAGCTTTAATAGGCTGTTGAGGACTTGAATGGCAGCATAATTATATATAGCACGTTGGCCTTTTTGTTGAAGAGATGTAGCAACCAGTTCCTGAATAGCATTTTTCTCTTAGTCCTTATCATCATCCTCTGAGGAAAAAGGAGAATGCATATTAACTAATTAATTTTGGTATGTTAATGTTTTGGAAGTTGCATCATTTTGAAGTTATAAGTTTGGAACCTTTAACGTTATGAAGCTATTTAGTTTGGAAGCTTCAAAATGTTGAAGTTATGAAGTTTGGAACCTGTACAATTATGAAGTTATGAAGTTTGGAAGCTAGCTATATCTATGATGTTTGGAAGCTTTAACAGTTCGAAGTTGGAAGTAAGAATTGTGAGTTTAAATGTGCTTCTTCCTTCTATAGACACTCAGAACTTACAATGTGGCTACTTTTCCCCAGTACAAGGTTTTCTCGGCTTCTCTCTCCATTTGGTGCCCACCATTATTATTATACAACAGTCTTTATCTGTGACTGTACGATCTTTATGGCACATCTTGGGCAGGGGGCTCCAGTGGTATAGAGAGTGGCGGAGGTGAGCTCTGCGTTGTCACTCATAATGCCATTGAACTCAGCACAGCACACTGTACATAACACCAGTGTTATATATAATATATACACTGTCAATATCATACATCCACATAGAGAGACATAACACTATCACTCACATACATTCTCTAGTGCCAAGTAAAAGTACTCACCATATCCACCTGAGAATCCATCAACGAACCCATTAGAGCCAACACTCTAATATGGCCCTCTCCACTGGCCAAGGAATTTCAGCACTTCTATCAGAGAATAAGTGACCTTGATTACAGTTCTGGACCGTCATGCCAAGTAAAGTACTCACCATATCCATCAAAGAACCCATTAGAGCCAACACTCTAATGGCCCCCTCCACTGGCCAAGGAATTTCAGCACTTCTATCAGGGAATAAGTGACCTTGATTACAGTTCTGGACCGTCATGCCAAGTAAAGTACTCACCATATCCATCAAAGAACCCATTAGAGTCAACACTCTAATATGGCCCTCTCCACTGGCCAAGGAATTTCAGCACTTCTATCAGGGAATAAGTGACCTTGATTACAGTTCTGGACCGTCATGCCAAGTAAAGTACTCACCATATCCTTCAAAGAACCCATTAGAGCCAACACTCTAATGGCCCCCTCCACTGGAATTTCAGCAACTCTCTCCCTAGCTATCACGTGTCCTAAGGGAATAAGTGTTCTTGATTACAGTTCTGGACCGTCGTGCCAAGTAAAGTACTCACCATATCCATCTGAGCGTATTCCTAGCACCGGGTTGTTTGAAGTTGGACTACAAATATAGGTAACTATAGACACTGTATAGCAAGTAAATAAAAAATTCTAAAAGTGTGGAATATAGGGATGCCATAAAAAGTAAGGAGACAAGACAGGGATGACCTAGTGAACATGATGCAGTAGTACAATGGATGATGGCTACATACTTTGAACTGACATCGCTTGCTCATGTAAATTTCCTCCACGCAAGCCCTATATTGCCACGAAGTACGAGTGTGCTCCCTTATATGATGCACATCTATGATTTATATCATAAGCACATTAGCCAGGTAATACCATCTGCTCGGTTTTCTGTTGTAACTGCATTGTGTGAAGTCTAAGACTTCTACATTTGCTCAACTAACCAGTTTTACGATGCTGCGTTCTTGGCCATCTACATACAGAATCCTTTCACCATTGTCCTCGCACTTCACTAAACAAACAGTAAAGGTGGCAACAATATAGGGCTTGTGTGGAGGAAATTTTACACGAGCAACCGATGTCAGTTCAAAGTATGTAGCCATCATCCATTGTACTACTGCATCATGTTCACTAGGTCGTCCCTGTCTTGTCTCCTTACTTTTTATGGCATCCCTATATTCCACACTTTTTTAATTCGAAGAATGTTTTATTTACTTGTCTCCTTTTCTTTTTTTTACTGCATTCACATGCATCGTGTGCAAATAAAAAGGGGATATTTTTGGGCATAAGCCCATAAAAAAGTAACATTAGTGGCCTTAAGCTATCGCCTCAGACGTTATGCGTCATTCACATTACATCAGTGCACCAAGTTTCATTGTGAGAGGACCCATCATAAACAAGTTATAGGCACTGACAATATTTAAAAGTCTTTCTTGCCAGAGGCTGTTTGTTGTTATTTACAACCTTGTAATTTCAACTCTTTATCGTGGTGAATCAGTGTACCAAGTTTCATTGTTAGAGGACCAACAACAAGGAATTTATAGGCACAAACAC